TAGATGACTGTGAGTCTACACGCGTTGCCCGAAAACGTCGTTTCTTTGCCCGTGGAGCCTTCCTGAAGTGGACAGTTTGAGGTTTCATCTGTCGGGCGGCACAGTCGATGACGCGAGGTAGAGTAGCCAGATCTTTATTACACACAGGGGAACTGGGCGATTGGTTGCTGGGGACACAGCATTCGTTATCTTCCTTGTTCTCTGTCGATGAACTGGAAGATGAGGAAGCAAAACATTTGGTGGTACTCAGTGACGATGACGACGACAACGATGATGATGAAGAGACACAACTTAAAGACGTCTGCCGGTCAGGGGGCGACAGCCTGTTGGGGTGGGCAGTATCCGAGTCAGTTCTATTTACAGCAGCAGCACCCTTGGTTGACTCCTCAGCCGTCCCAGTAACACTTTTGTTGTTACTCAGTCTAATTATAGATCGGAACGAAGCGTCGGAATCTGAGCGGTCAATGGTGACAGAGTGGAAAGGCTGGGAGTGAGAGGGGGAGGACGCGGAGTTGTTTCTGGTTGTGGGGATGTTCACGGGAGCCGTGAGGAGACGGGACGAGGAAGGGGAGGAGATGGGAAGAGGGTGGGCACGTCTGCTGGACAAGAGGAGAGGCGAGTTCCCCCTGTCTCCGCCCCCATCAGCCCCGCCCCCCCTCGTCCTGCTCGGCCTGACAGCTGGCGGGAGATCAGTGCTGGGTGTGAGGCTCTCCTCTCCACCACCATTGTGTGTACCTGGTGTGTTGTGTGTACCTGGTGTGTTGTGTGCCACTGGTGTGTTGTGTGCCACTGGTGTGTTGTGTGCCACTGCTGTGTTGTGTGCCACTGGTGTGTTGTGTGCCACTGGTGTGTTGTGTGCCACTGGTGTGTTGTGTGCCACTGGTCTGCTACGTTTACCTGCATTCTTCTCCTTCCCCATCAGTGGGCTAGAAGATGTAGAGGCAACCTCAGACAGTCTGAGCTTACTACGGAAAGACATGGGGGTCATGGGTCGGAGGTCAGATACACAGGTCAGAGCAGAGGAAGAGCGACTGGAGCCAGGCCGAGAGGGGTCAAAGGTGAGAGCGGCAGGGGGAGGCGGGGAGGAACAGCTGGCCGAGGTGGTGGGACCCACAAGTGGCTCAGGTCTGTTCTCAGCACCGGTGCCACACGAGGGCGGTTTGTGGGTGGGCTCAGAACCTTCGTCTGTGGATGTGTTGTTGTCTCTGTGTCCCGGCGTGGCCCCGACGGCCGGTGAGTCTGTGCCCATGTGCCCGTCGTTGGTGCTCATGTGTCCGTCGTTGGTGCTCATGTGTCCGTCGTTGGTGCTCATGTGTCCGTCGTTGGTGCTCATGTGTCCATCGTTGGTGTCGCTGAGGTTGCGGCTGTTGTTGGACTCGCTCTGCACCAAGTTGTCCACAAAGTTGTCAATGATGTCGGCCAGGATGCTCATGTTGGTGGCGTTGTCCCGCAGGAACTGGTCGCCGCTGTGCTGCAAGTCCTCCCGGATACGCTGAAGCTTCCTGGGGCACATCTTCCTCTTGGTGGCGTTGTCGTGCTGCTTGCCCCGCGCGATCACGCTTGAGATTTTCTTCCCACTGGGCCTCAGCGCCGAGTTGAAGGCTCGTTCTCTGGAGGTCATGTAGCGGCTGTACATCGCGCGCAGAATCTCGTCCACTTCACTGTCGCTGTCCGAGGAAGAGGAGGAGCCAAGGTCACGGAAGAAAGGTCGTGAGGATTCCTCCAAGCGGCTGGAAGAACTGCCGATCGTGTCGTGTGTACTATTAGCGTCCTCGTTCTCCTGTGCCTGTGGGGTCGCCAGCGTGGCATCCAAGCCCAGAACTCCAAAATCTCGGGTGGTCTGTGGGGGATCCTCACTACTCCCGCCTCCACCACCTTCCTCCCCACCTCCTCCTCCATCATCACCGTTGTCGTCATCATCATCATCCCCACCATTCCACCTCTGATGGTTGACGTTATCATCGTCCTCCTCCTCCTGAGCGGACGGGTCAGATCCGTCGTCCCCGGCGTCCTCATCCACACTCTGCTCCACCTCCCTCTGTATCAGACTGTCGAAGAACGCGATCATGCAGGGCTCCTCCTCCGTGCTGCCGTTGGTGTAGTCATGTGACAGGAAGCTCCCGGCCTGAAGCACCATGTGAATGTATTCCTCGTGGCTGTAGGCGTTTCTCTCCACCTCCTCGTCATCGCCATAGCGACGGCTGTGCTCTAGTCTCCCCGTGCTGCCTGGGATGTTGTACGGGCTCCACATCTGGGGGGGGGGGGGGAGAAGATTGTAGTAGTTAGATATGGCTAACAAGCTTGGCAATGTTGAGTGAATGGAGGAGTCGAGAGAAGGACATCAAGACCATGATAGAAATGTGCAGAGACAAGCAAGCCAAACAGAAGTAACAGAGGGAAAGTAATAGGTCCTACCGATGGCACCCTCCAACCACACACACCTTTTCAGACTTTACACTCGCCCACTCAGACTAGCCGTCTTTAGAAAAGAAGTTTCACCTTAACAAGACTAGGGCAGAGATTTCATTTACATAATTATTGCAAAATGTTTCTTCTTCCGTTTGATACTGAAACGTTTTAGTTTTAGAGCCAATCAAAGTGCGGTCGTGTTTCCGACACTTCGAAAGTGTCTCGACTTGGTGAAAAGCAACACAATTGTTTTGAAAAGGAAATAACGATGGATTAGAGCAAGAACAAGCAAATGACAAATCAGAAGAATAAAATATTGATAAAAATGTAGCAAGAGTTTGGGGCGATTTCGATTAATCAGATGTAGAATTTAGATCTAAGGCCCGACCGCGATGCTGAGAGTGAGAGTGACGGGTCGGACACCCCGATTGAGCTAAAGTTACAACATTTCCTACAATTTGTGCATGTATAAAGTTTTATTTTTCTGAAACTTTATTCATTTCTCTTTCTAACTTATTTTTTCCAGATTATTGGAATTTGTTTAGCATTTTTTAAATGTATTTTTCTAAGTCTTTGTATTCCCGGGAGGTGAGTTCCTGCCCCTTGCTTACGATTTGGGAATAGACTTCCCGTCCAGACCCTTAGGGTGGAAGGTGTTAGATGCTGGGTCAAAGGAATAAATGGTTGGGAGAAAGGCAAAAATAAAGTACACGTCTTACGGTGAACGGTGGCCTCAGAGTATACTTGTGATACTCTCTCGAGGTTTACAATTAGTAGACCACTTACTTACAAAAAGAAAATGTCCCGCTGAAAGTGTCTCCCCCCCCCCCCCCCGGTGTGCTGGGAGTTGTTACCTTGATGAGTTTCTCCACGCCGGATGAGATAAACAGCTGGTTCACCGGGCAGTACCGCACCTGGTTCACTATCGACCTGTGACCTTTCAGGATCATGTGCGGCTCTTCCTGGTGGTCTAAAAGAAAAACACAAACATAAAAGGTGAATCGACCAGCACAGAACGTGGACATGTAGTAATGGTGGACATGTAGTAATGGTGGACATGTAGTAATGGTGGACATTTGAAATACATCCCCGCCCCGACAGCAACTGATCATTTGTTTTTAGTAGTTTTGGGCAAAGCCAAGCGCACTGACACAACCGAGGTCATTTAGTGCAGGGTAAGGGGAACAACTTGGTAAGGGAACAACTTGGTAAGTTTTACTAAGTACGGGCCTTATGGCAAAAGTGCATCAGATTTTCCTGCCGCAACAACAATCGGAAGATAGACAGACGGAATGAGTGAATGATAGAATGGAGGAAACTGGCACAAAAAATTTGCCAGATTTTGATCAATCCACAGGTAAAATGGTACTGCCTACAGGCCAGGAATGAATGCATGGGGCATAGCGAAATAAATGCCGATTGCAGGAAGTGCGCAATCTGGCAGGTTTCTATGACATTAACTTATTGCCAAGGAGCTTAGAGCCGAGAGAATTACCGTAAATATCCGTAACTTACGATACGAAGGCGAGTACGGATCTTCTGCTATGGAATTTCGGTCATCCTACGCTGTCGCAGGTTTCTACGGAGGAAGTTGGTAATGACGGAGAAACAAGTACGGAACTGGCAGAAAGTACGGATTTCCGTAAAAATACGGAAGAGTGGAAGCACTGAAGGACATACAAGACAGACCTAATCTAAAAAAAGGAGGGACAGAGAGAAGGCAGACAAACAAACAACGGACAGACAGACAAACATCGGACAAACAGACAACTTACATGGTTTGGAGACGTCCGACGGAATCTTCCACAGGTAGATACAGAAGTCGTCGGATCCTGAGACCACGTACTGCCGTACACACATGGGGATACACAACAACACATAGTCACTGGACCAGCTCAACCATTCCCTTCTACACAAACAACATCTATTGGGAGGCCGGCTGCTTGACTGACCCTGCCTGTCAGGGCCAACCCTACCTGTCTGGGCCAACCCTACCTGTCAGGGACAACCCTACCTGTCAGGGACAACCCTACCTGTCAGGGACAACCCTACCTGTCTGGGCCAACCCT